TTGGGATTGGTCTGCCAAGCAGTAGTCCTTCTTATGCCCTCACTTATGTTCTTTCTGAAAAACGGCTTCTTGAATGGGAAGAAACAAGCGAAATGCTTCCCTGTTGGGTAACGCATCACCATGTGTTTTGTCAAGTTCTGCAGGACCTTCGAGGCTGCGCGAAGTGTTTTTATTGAACAAAGGTAGTCAAATGACGTAGATTGGTCGTGCTTAGGTATATTTCGATTCTTCGATTCCTTCCATAAAATGGAAGAGGCTTCACTTTCGAGACCGAGATTAAATAGCTAACACAGAATGGAGGGAAAAATATCATTTGTTTTAGTCTTGAAGATGTTGACCGGGACGCCATCTGGTCCAGGACTATGAGATTACTAAAAACGTCAAATGACCACGCTCACGCCTCTGAGGATAAAAGTTTCGGCTTCGAGGACGGCATCGATCCAAACCCGGATGGTCGGAAGGGGAGCGGCCGGGTTTTCATTAAACATCCTCTTTATGAAGACTTTTAAGCTATCAGCCGTCAGATTATGTGCGTAACCTATCCTTCTCTGTCAGGATGTTTGGTAGGGAATCCAAGTGGGGCCGCCTGATAGTACTAGGCATTGCTCTTATAGTTTTCATGGTCTATAGGCCACCACTGGATAACCAAAACGAGTTGTTCCTACAATTTTCTTGGTCTATTGGCTTCCTTTGCTAACCAGCAGGAGTTAATCTTACAGTATTCCTGGTCTTTCTATTCTTCCACAACCTATTTACCTACATTTTTGTTGAATAAAATAATTAAAACCGGTTTTGATTTATTTCCTTCTGTGAACTTGTCATGCAGAACACACGCATTAATCAAGCATCAAAACGTTAACCACGAATTTCGTAAGGTAGTTGGACTGAGAGACTTTTGCCACTAGGCGGCCCTACGATTAGTCCCTACCCTTGATATATATGTTCAAAATGAGCCCGAGCCATGTGGGATTTAACTTCACAGTTGAAATTCTCACCCAAATTGTCATTTTCTATAGTCCTTTCTGAACCCTGGCAACCGACGTGGTTGCTTTTTACGTTGCCTTCATTTTTACGTTGCAAATAGGGTACTCCAAGGCTCAGGACTATTTCTATCGATACACTGAATTAAACGCAGCTGGTTGCGAATTAGGTGGATAGCAAAATTAACGTGTTTGTGTCAGGGTTCTGTTGGATACCCTAGGTTTTCTTGGGCCCTGAGATCAGCCGCAAAATATACAATGGTGTTATTAGTGGATTAAAACTATCTGAAGGGGAGTAATTTCCGGAAATTTTACCACTAGCAAATTGGTGGGTGACTTTGTTTTATTAGATAAAATACATTAAAGTACATTTGTGCAGTTGGGCACTTTATTCGTGTTCGTGTTAGCGATGTTTTTGTCCAAAGCTCCTGTTGCTTTGTCGTTTTCCAGAGTATGCACTCGGCTGCTTCATCACAACGCCAGGATTCTGGGTAGCTTAGTTTTCTTTGTGAGTTACGTCCTTTATAGCCCCCATAAGGGTTGGTATGCCTTCATTGTCACCCACAATGGAGAGTGGTACAATCGTGAAATGGCACAAAAAGGAAGGGGACGGAATTGCTTCTGGTGACGTTCTATGTGACGTGCAGACCGATAAGGCCGTTGTTGGTATGGAGACGGACGAAGAAGGCGTTATGGCGAAAATAATCGTAAGTTAATTTACGACACCATTGTGTCAGCAAACAGCCCCTCTCTTATCGTTTTATGCTGCCTTGCGCATGCCTCATTTGCATAGACTAG